TATTATTATTATTATTATTATTATTATCATTACTAATATTATTTATTATCACTGTTATCATCAGTAATATTATAATAATTGTAGTTAGGTTAAAATGACCCTATTCATAGCAGTAGTAATACTGCATAATTTGTTGCAGCAGCAGCAGCAGCAGCAGCAGCAGTAGTACTAGTAATAAAGTAGTAAAGTGGTAGAAGTAGTAGTAGTAGTACATTTAGTAGTGTATGTTGCATTAATTGTAAAAGCAAGGTGTAGTAGCAGTAGCAGAAATAACATGACAGCAACAAATGCAAAACTATGAATGCCATAAAACGAGTAAGAGACATATTTGCTTTGAAAGGAAGCAACAACACTCACCTAAAACCTTCAAGAAAGCGTCTAAGTTTTCGTTCTTGGAGACATCGTGTCTCCATGTTCCAATAAAGGCTTCCATTGTGAATGATATGCGTCGGCAAAGGTACACTGTGAAGAGAAACCAAATGTTGGCATATAGCTAGCTACCCTAAAATTATTAAGTTCTTTCTGCTCAGTACTTAGTTTTGAGACATTTGACGTTAAAAAACTAGATTCCACAAAATGGTCCAGCTTTTCCAAATTCAAATCTTTGAGTATCTTGGTCTGCATGCAACGAAATTGAATAATCTTACGATTCTGATTGAACAGACACAACAAATTTGGTTTCTGACCTCATGGTCTTAGTAACTCAAAAAACAGTTTTTAAAAAAATGTTAGACAAAAGGTAGCAATTTCTTTTAGTGTTTAGACTAGGCTGGCAGAAAAATGTAGATGTAAGAGCAACTAATGGCACTTATCTCTGTCTGCATTTCATAGAAAAACAGAATAAAATGGTTTGGCTATCCGTCACGAATTCCATCTAGCCAGCCTGCCCTAAGACCCCAAAACATCAAGTAGCCAAGCAATAACAGAAAAACTAGGGCACGCAAAAGATGAATTGAGAGATTAAAGGGAACCCAGAAAAACTGTAACATCCCAATTTAAAGACCTTCAGAATTAGGTCACCTAATAAAACGCCTCCATGATTAACGGATATAGAGGGTGAAAAAGTAAAAGTGAACGTTAAGTGTTGTTAGATAATCATCATAATCACTAAATGTTAGATCTGAAGTAAAAATTGAGGGTTTTACTGCTCCACTTATTTCTGTACTCGGACACTCTTAAAATAAATTGCATATCCTGGTCGTTCACAGTTACCCATCTGTTCAAATTCTCACAATTCTTCTTGGTCTGCCCCTGCCTGTAATCTTCGGTTCTTATATAACCTTCAGTGTTGAAGTGCCTAAAAACTCTCATTAAAAAAAGAAGGAGCGGGAAACTAACAAACTACTTTAACTAAAATATTATAGAAAACTAAAAGACTCTAAAAACTCCCAAACTTTAAGGAACTACAAAACCATTTCAACTGAAAACAGAGCGTGTAGAATAACTGAAACAGTTTTCACCTGAAAGAAATGATGGTCCAGACAGAAGGAGAGCTCCCGAATGATGCGTTCACAATGAGGGAAGCGTTACTTATGCTCACAGCTCGTTCCGCATTGGTGAGCGATGGAGCAGGGGCGAGGGTGGTTGGAGTGCTCCGCCCGAGCAGGGGTGGTGGGATGGGTGGGAAGGTCGTGAGCTTCATGTTCGTTGAACATGTGAAATGGTATCGGTTTAACGCCCCTATCAACACTTTGTGTCAGGTTGTTTGGGTAGCGGTGGGATGCAGATGGTAGTCGGAGGTGACGGGAGTTTGTTTTTTTTTTTGTTGGTTGGGTTGGGGTGGGGGGGGCGTTACCTGTGTATGCAGTTTACAATGTATTGTATAGCCATCGGTGCTGAGAAAGGCTGGGGAGGGGTGGGGCCGTTGGTTGTCCTGAGTTGACGACCGTGATTAGGGAGGGAAGGTGGGGCTTAGTGAGTCACTTCTATCCGTAAACAGATCTGTCTGTGTCATATTTCATGTGACAGAACTTACAGCACGGTTTAAAAACTTTTTTGTTTCGTTTTCCATCTACATTTTTAACGTTGAAATTTAAACCCTCTCTCCGAATTCGTTCCGCGCCCTCTCAATTAAAATTTGTAGTAAAAATAGGAAAACCATGTGCAAATGTGACATCCTCCCCACCCTCCTTCCCCCACCCACCCGCTCGCCAAATTTGAACCTTCATTCTCTTTCTCCCAACTCTCCAAACTAAATAGTTTCAAGACACGGTGGAATCAGGCACTCGTCAACTTTGGAGCATGCCATTTGCCTTGCTTTCAATGAAAATATATCCATTCATCTTGAATAGAAGTCGAGATATTTGCGACTGAAGGAGGAGGGGGCCGCCTGGCTTCAGAAGTAAAATTATCGAGAAAACGGTCTTCAGAGTTTGATAATCACATTTGCTTGAGATTTTTTAGTAAAATTCACCGCGAAATGTTTTTTTAATTAGACATATAAGGTATTTAGCACAAAATAAAAGATTCGAAAAAAAATAATAGCTAAATTGGGGGGGGGAAATGCCTGTTTCTTCGATTTCATTATTTTCATTTTTAGAGGGCCATCGTTTCTGAACTTGACCAGTGTCTGTGATGTAGCGGTCAGGTGCTTCGCTATCTCTCACACAAGCCATGCCTTCTCGATTCTCATGTGAAGTGGGCTTTTTCATTGAATATCTCCTGTCTGCTGAGACGTTGCGTCCCTCCCAGTCCAGATGGGTCCTGGCAGGCAAGGTCAAGGCAGCCAGCCTCTTAAATGATTTAAAAATAGTGGTGATGAGTGCGTAAAGCATCAGATATATTTATAGTTTATATGAAGGGTATCATGGTGCCACGTAAGCAAACCAGTGCGCACAAGCAAGAGGTCTCTTGAAAGACTATTTTCTTAAATACTCAAATGCACGTGCTTTTAGGTCCCTATCGAAACAGTTTAGCTCGTTTAGGAGTCAACAACCCGAGCTCAGAGGAATGCAGGAAGACAGAAAGACAGAGATACTCGATTAAAAAAAGGAACTCAAATCGTCTGCGTGCGATGGCGAATCACTTAACGCGACACCACAGGCGGCAGTTTGTACACATATGTCAGTATCAATTTGATAAAAGTTTCACTGCGCTGGTAACTGCAATAGGTCATAATTATGTTATTCACTTCAAAAGATGTATAGTGCTGCTTATTGGTGTGTATACCCTCTGCCCTCTTTTATTTTTGTCTGACGTATCAAAAGGGGGAAATGTGGGAGAGGGGGGGGGGGGGGGGAGATTGTCACCTTGTAAGTAATCCAGAGTATGGGAAGGATTGTCGCTTTACAATGAGTCAGGGTGCTGTTACTTTGTTAGGTTGTTTCATATGTGTGTGTGTGTGTGTGTGTGTGTTTTTTTTTTTTGGTGTGTTTTATTTTAATGTTTAAATTTAAATTAATTTATTTTTGTGTTTTTTTTGTTGTTTTTTTGGGGGGGTGAGAGGAGAAGTGTCATCTTACTATGTATCCAGGTAGTGTTTTTTCAAAGTAGGTATTTTACGCTCCCGTCGACACAATTTAGATCATTTTGGAGATGGGCTTCCAACTCTACTCTTTCAGGACCAATTCGGCGGGCTGAGAGGGATACAACATCCCCTCAGAAAGACCGAGATACTCGATAAAATGTATAACCTCTCGGTAATCGAACTTAGGCCTTCAGTGCGCGACAGCATAGCGTCTAACCCCAACACCGCAAACACCAGTCTCGTTAAATATCAAATTTAACAACTCAAAAAAAAGCAATGTTACAAACCCTAACGCAGTGCGAAATTTTTGGTCTTATTATCTCATAAGAATAAGCGAAAAGACTTATACATTATCAGACTATTACAGGAATAGGAGGCAATAATCATCTCTGAATCAACATCTTTAAGTAAACATTGTAATTCAAAACAAACAAGACCTGCAGTCATCTTCTATGGATCATCAGGGGGATCTCGTTGCCTAGAGGTTAAGGCGTTCTCCTCTCATTCAATAGGTCCCGGGTTCGAAGCCGGATAGCGAAGGAAATTTTTTTTCTCTAAATTGTCACCTTTCACACCCCTTCCTGCTCTATAACAATGTCATGTCGTCTGCTTTCGCATCCACTTTTGGATCCCACCCTCTCACCCCCTCTGCCCCCTCCTCTGGGCTCCTGACTCTTTCTGCAGCCTTTCCACTGCTACTCCCTGGCTCCTTCTTTAACTGTTGTCTTTCAGCCACACCCTTGTTCTTAACACGACAACCCAAGCTAAAAAAAACAAGGCGCTTCACAGTGGCGACCAGCAATGAAATGTTAGAGAAATTGTTCTGTATTGGAGCAATATTGTGTTTATATTATGTATGTATTTATGCAAGTATACTTTATGGGTGAATTTAAGTACCTATGTATTTCCAATTATGTATTTACGTATGTATGTTTACTATTTAAACCAAATTTGCCCACGGAGACCAATAAAATGTAAAATATATCATTTTTTGAATTTATCATGATTTGGTTGTTCTAGCCCTCTTTTTCTATGGAATTGTCATATTGATTTCATATGTCGCTTCCTCATTGTCTCGAAGAGTGATCTTTTTATGTTTACCATTGTGAATAATATTGAGGCAGCGTGGTGGAATCAGGCTCTCGTCAATTTTTGGGCAAGTAGAGTTATTGGTATCATCTTAAAGCTTGCTCATCTGTCTTTATTTGGATTAAAAAAATATCCATTTACTTTGAATACAAGTCGAGATATTTGCGAAAGAAGGAGGTGGGGGTCACCTGTTTTCAGAAGTAAAATTAGTGAGAAAATACCCGCCAAAGATTAGTTATTTCCTTAGCTTAAGAGTCCGTGGTAACTGCAAATTTACATTTTTGTGCCTTTAATCAACGCTTTTCAGAAAAATCCACTCAGAAATGAGTTCTTTAATGGGCATGAAAGGTGTTGAGCCAAAAAACAAAAATTTGATAAAAATTCGCAAACCTGCGAAAAAATGCAAGTTCCTTCACTTTGATTATTTTGACGAGAGCCTGATTCCACCACGCTGCCTCACATATGCTTACCATTTCTAGCAACGCTTGCTTGTTGGTTTGTTCTCTTATCTGTCCATGACACTTTCATCATTTTCCTTAGGAACCTCATTTCTGTCGCTTCGAAATTCCTTTCTTGAGATAGCAGGACAGGTTTCATTTTGGCGTCTACTACATACTAGAGTGAAGTGTAAGGGTAAGGCTCCTTGCCGTTGCACGCAGGAAAAAAATGTTTTAAAAAACAGAACAAAACCATGAGCTCTATTTCTTTGTTGATATGTATATCTTATCAAGTATCAGTCTTTCTACTGGAATGGTGCATTCCACCTAATCGAAGTTGGCCTTGGCCTACAGAGTCGAAGCTACGTCGATTTGGCTTAAAGGTCCTCTGTCGCACCCAAGAAGCAACAGTACTGTAGTAGTAGTAGTAGTAGTAGTAGTAGTAGTAGTAGTAGTAGTAGTAGTAGT